CTATGGGCAAGTTTCTTAACCAATCCTGGTTTGACCCGCTCCATATAGAGCATATGGTTGGAACAAAGACTGTTGAATTATCGCCACCCGAGTTGTCGGTGTTCTCCTGCGGGTAAAACGCTTGCTCCTTACGGCTGAGCTTTTCGTTGTGTTCTCGTGCTTCGGGTATCGGCGCTTGGATTCGGCGTTTAGGTTCCTTTCGAGGGGCGATATCGGTCAGAGCGTCGTCCATCTTCGCCCTCGCTGTGATGCTGGCGGCAATCGCCCTCAGTATCTCGTCCTCTCCTTTCGTGCACTTCGTGATCTCAATAGTCCACAGGGCCAAGAGTGCCGACCATTGCCCTAGGCGACCCTGTAATCCTGTCGACTTGAACAGCCAGGCTAACGTGGAAGGCCTCGTTAGGACCCGGATCTCGCGTCCCACCAGTAAATTATAATAGAGAGCCAGGATCCTCAGTAATGCCAACAGCTCCTTTTCGGTCACATTATAATTCAACTCATTTGTTTCAAGGTGCGGCTGGCGAACGCGACCGGATGATAGATCCCGTCGTGTTCTTGAGGCAACGAAGCAGATATCGCCCAATCACTGGCATATACTATGACTACCGGCGTTCTCGTCTCGTCGAAGTGACGGAGAATTGGACTTGTCGCGATATTGGCTTTCAGGGAGATGAAGGCATTATGCGCTCTGATCCACCGCTCATCTTATGATCCTGCCACGTGATGCTCCGATGTGGCATTATCTCGCTCGATCGGATCGTTCTGGGCCATGATCTCCCTCAAATCCGATCGTTTCGCCAGTTCTGCAAACTCCACCTCGCGTAGTTTGTATAGCACCGAGGCGTCAATAGCGTAGTCTTCAATAATTCGGCTATAATAGTTGAGACTACCCAGGAATGACTGCATAGATCGAAGTGATCCGGGGAATGACAGATGGGTCAGGGATTTCAGGTCTTTTGGGTTTGCCTCTAGTCCTCCGATCGACACTCGATGGCTCAGATATCCTGCCTTATCCATGCCCCAGAAACCCTTGGTCACACTGATCGATAAATTCTACTTATCACAAGCCTCCAACAGATCTTCCACCCTTTGGCACATCTGATCCTACGATTCTGCTGCGATCATGATGTCGTCAATATATGATCTTCGTCCCAACACCGACTCGCGATCAGGATCATCCGCGATCCCTGTCTGGAACACGTCCGTTGTAGTCCCGGCATCGCCTGATCGCGGGATCTTCAGGAATCCATACAACGCGTTGTCTACGAGGTGTTGATAAATCTGCGGGGCATTTTTAAGGCCGAAAGGCATACGACTCCATTCGAATAGTCCAAACAGGGTGATAAATGCTGAGATCTCGCGAGCCCGATCCGTCATGGGCACAACCCAGAAGCCACTGGCCATATCCAGTGAGCAATACCATAACACCTTATCGAGGTCCTCTAGCAGATCACTGATCAGAGGCACAGGATAGACCATCAACCTTGTGAGGTTGTTTACCAGCTTGTAATCGATGCACAACCTGATATCCACCCCGTTACTCGTGCGAACAATCACGATCGGTGAGACCCATGGCGATGTCGAGGGTCGGATGATCTCGGCTGCTAGGAGGCCCTTGATCAGGCCTACGACTTTTTCCCGAAATCGCGTGGGTACTTTCCGGGATCGTAACGCGATCGGTTTCGCGTTCCCGACATCGATGTCACGCACGACACCCCTGGTCGCCGGTGGTAGGGCGTCCCCTTTACGGATCAGGAGGTGTTTTTTCTTTCAAATGATCTGCCGGAGCTTCTCGATCTCCTCGGGTGTGGTCGATCC